GGGGGGAGTGGGCAGGCACCGGGGGAGTCGGCTGGGGAAGCAGGAAGGGAGAAACCCCGTTCTGCTCTTGCCCGGAGGCAGAAATGCCATCACAGCTCAAGGATGAGCTTGGAGGGTGGTGCTTTTGAAACATGGTTGTTTATTTGGGGCACACAGTGTAGCAGTCAGAGAATGTATAACTTTCATGGCGCAGAGGAAAAACACCCACCTACCACCACCGCAGAGTTCCAGGTTAGATTTACAGCAGCGAGGCCTCTGGTGACAGCGTTCATAAAGTGGTAAAGGACCATGTCCCTGTCAGTTTGGTGAGTCCATGTGTATCAGAGGAGACACATTGAAGTCTTCATCCCTCTCCCACAAGCCACAAGGGGTCAGTAGCAACAGGGACGATGGTACACATTAAGAATCAGCAATACCTTGATCTGTGTTGTGAAGGGTGTGACTGAGAGGGAGCCAAATTCATTTTATATGAAATGGGATTTTTTTTGTACCAGAAGAATGGAGTGCCAAACTACTTAGCTGTGGCCCATTCACTTCTCAGGCAAGACTGACCTTTTATCAAACAGATATTAGTTTTGTATTGCTTTTGGAAATCAATACAACAAATACTGATAGCATTCTGTTGGGTTTTTTTGAGGCACATTTGTGCCTATTTCATTCAAATTATTATGCTGTGTTGACTTAAAATGCCTTTTGTACACACAATGGACATAAGTGGAAGACAAATGCCATAAAACCATGTTGAGGTTTTGTTAAGTTAAATGTATATTTAGTCAAAAAACAGTTTTCATGATGACTGACTATTATCAGGATAGTTTATACTATGTACTTGAAACTGCAAATGTGCGTATATTGATGCATACAGATTTGAGATATTTGTGAAATGACCAAAGTTTTGAGACCAAAACTTGTAAAGAAGAAACAGATTGTATAGATGTTTCTCCCAACGTGACACTCAAAACTACCTTACATTTTGTTGTTAATTGGTTTTCTCCTAGCTGTCAGCATTTTTCCAATGTGACTTCTTGTAAATTACTTTAAAACGTATTGGTGTCAAAAGCTACTTTTGCCTTTTTCACAATGGCACTGATGAGTGTGATGATTTTCATTAGTATTTGACGTATTCATGAAGAACATTCATGATAACAGACATATTTATACTTAGATAATGGCTTTTCATTGACGATGGTCGCAGTGTGTCATAAAATACATGATAGAAGCATTCATCGTTTTAACAATTGACTGTATTAATGCTGTCAAATGCTTTTTGCCATTATTATCTCCACTGAAAGTCTGCACCACTGCCTACCTTTTCCTTTGTGCGTTATTCAAAATGTGTATATAGAACAGTATTCAATGTGAAATGTCAGATCTTTTGATTGTAGTTGTTTAACTTAAAAAAACAACATTAGTTCTGGGGCAGTTTCAATGTAGGAGATGCCAATACTGAGAAACAGTTGCCAGAGATTGAGTAAGTGAAGCTTCCAGGAGATAATGTTTTAACACAGCCGAATATTAAACATAAAATGTGCCTTGTCTTTAATAATACCAGCTACTCACACAGGAAACAGAGAAGCAACAACCTTTATTTTATGTTAAATCATGTTTGTGTCTTTCCCAGCTTTTTGACTATTAGTTCATCTGTTTTTTTATATTCTGTCTTTCTTTCTGATTTCTCATCTCTCTTTATGGTCCACTGTTTTTCCACATGTAACTATTCTTTGTTTTCATGTATATCACTTAAATATTCTTTATCACTATTGGACACGGATCCAAACCATATGCATGCAGCACTGCTTGTTTTAATTACTGGTCCACATCTATTTAACCATTTACCTCCAGCATAAGAGTTCATTTTACATCCTTGTTGCTATGTATAAAATATCTGTAATGTTGCTATGATTTTACATTTCTTATTTATATTTGTTTTATGTTTGTGTGCGCTGTTATCGGTTTCTCTCCATTATGAAGAAAACTTTTGACTGTTACTGCCATTTTAGTATTTCATATTTTCCATTGTTGTATAACTTGTTGCCAGCACAACACAGCAACGCAACCTCCAAATAACAGCAGGAGCGACAGCCTGAACATGTGATAATGACTAATGATCTTTTACTCTCACTTGAAATAAAGCTCTATTATTTCTGCTTTAATACAAGCCTGCCTCTTGAAACATTTCTTTTTACGATGGAAGAAATTATAGAAATAACCATCTATCAATAAACATCATAGTCTGAATAATAACTACAGTGTACTAACAAACTGACATTTTCAAACAACTAATTTGATTATTATGAACTCAACAAAAAGCACGTCTTTGTGGCATCCAGCCAATCTGTTCAGCTAACGGATAATTCCCTTTAGCTGTGTGCAGCAATCTACAACCGGCCATTAGCGGAGGTGAGCTGAACATGAGTGATCAGCAGGGAGTGTGTTGGAGTGCGGGGGTGATGTGTTACAACAGTAGCAGGAGTGTCATCAGATCCACATTCATGTACTGTAGTTTGTAGCTGATTACCGCAACTGAAAGCTTCCTTGAACTTGAACTAATCCAGCCCCAGATGGGGGTACGATTGGTTATGCATGCCTATATGCATATTTCAACTTTGTTATAATGTGCATGTGTGTTTCTCTGTGTTACGGGTTAAGCCTGACTCCTAATTCCCTCTCTTTAATCGGCTGTGTGATACTTTGGAAAGACAAAGAGGGCCATTGAAGGGGAGCTTGGGGAGGAGGGAAACAGGGCAATGAGAGAGCCTTACCCATAACTGCCTGGCCTGTAGCTTCACCGGGATACAAAGGGACTCTCATACTCTCTCTGCACATAGACCCTGCCACCCCCTCTACTCACCCTCCTCCTCTTATCCCCCCACACTCACCCCATCCACTAAACCCCCCAAAAAAAAAAAAAAAAAAAAAAAAAAAAACTTTTTTCAGGTTGGAGCTGTGGGATTAAAACATTCTAAAAGGTAAGAGAGTTAACCAGATAGAAAACGTAGGTAGAGTTATTTATCTGTTTAAGTGCATTCTGAGCACCAAACTGTTTAAGTAGACGTCAGCCAAGAGCAGCAGACCCAGGAACAGGTAGGAGTGCGGCTGATGTGTGACCTTCCATTTCAGTCGATGGAGCTACCAGCTCAACATACATTGAGAACTGCAGCAATCTAACTATTATTGTATTGCAGAACACTCATCGTCTCATTCTGTTAAGCAGTATAGGTCCTGTATAGGTTCACATCAATGATGAGAGACAGAAATCACTAAAAGTCCACGGAACTGGGGCGAAAGTGTGGCTGTGTAAGTGCAAAACGCTGAACACATTGAGAGACATTTTGCTGAGGGAGACGGTGAGAAAACATTTAACAAAGGGTTTGCAATGATTAGAAGAAAAGTCCAGTCCATACATTAAACTGCATTACAAAAATTAATCTCCTCTGGCCTGGTTGGTAAACATATCAAAGACACAGTTAGATGTTTCTGGTCTCAAAAAAAAGTTGGAGTCAAGCAGCGTCTCTTGTTAGAATGACAATCTGTGAAATAATGAAGAATTAACATAATTCATCATCACTTTATCCAATAATCCAATCTATAAAGCCAGTAAACAAATACTAGGAATGGTATACTATTTAGTCCAAGTACCGTGCAATAACAGGGTTAATGGGAAATTGTCAGAGCACAACAAAGATAAACAGATCAGATTCCAGTAATAAGTTTGCATGATGATCAGCGTTCTCTAAAACTGGGTGAGCAGGAGAGGGTGAAACAACTAAAAACAGAGAGATAAGAGAACCATAAAGAAAGACATAATAATACAGATAAGAAGACAAGCAAATAAAGTGGTAAAGAGTAATGAGAAGTAGTCAGAAGATATTAGTTGAGCCCTCAGCTCGGTTGAGGACGACCTGCTGGTGGCCTCACTGTGGCTGGTGCTGCTGAGTGTCACATGGGCCGCCCCCTCCCTCCTGCCTACGAAAGGAGTGCAGCGTCACCCTGAGGCGCAGTCTCCTCCAATCAAAAGACTCACAGATTAAGGCAAATTTCTTCCCAGAAATGAATAACATGACTGCAGCTAGCACAATTATAGACACCAGTACACTCTGGCTTCTCCCTGATAGTTAAAGAGATAGATGAGAATACAACAGTACACACCTTAACATCTCTTGGCTTTACTTTCACCACCGGAAAACGCACTGCTTCGTCATAAAGCTTGTTTCTTGGCTGTTTTATTCCCCATTTTTATTAAGTAGGATGTCTTTATTATAAACATGTGATTATATACACACACACACACACACACACTGAACATATAATAGTGGTAGTATCATCATACTGCTCCTTCTACAACAAAGCCGTTAATCCTCTCTTTCTCACGAACTTCCAGCCCCCTCTATCTTGCAGCGTGCACCGACCCTCGTTCTGCTGGGCAACAACCCATTTTCACTGAACAATACAGGGACTGTTTGGCTGCTTTGTGCGTATGTGTTTGTATGGGGGAAGGGGGGGGACACAGAGCTCATCATGACAGTTACAACACTTCTCCATCAGCTGCAGGAGTTAACCTGCCTCATCTCTTTAGTAGAGTTACGGAACATTAAGCCAGATGAGAATCTTTCAGACTCCCATACTAGTCATCAAAGACGGGGGGGGTGTGGATGGATTTGGGACTTCTCTCCTTGCTTAGAACATGTCGGGTGTGACGGATTTATCAGAGGAATGGGCCTTTTTCAAGAAATCTCACACAGAAATTTTTATTTATTTTTTAGGAATAACTTATTTACTTCTAAGCCTGAAATATGATGTATCGATATAACACGCTGCAAGGACACTCTTGAAATTCCTTGAATTTAGCTGAACTTCCCACTCGTTCAGGTGTAAGTGGCTTATTGCATAATTATACTGTTAAATCTCTGTGACAGGGATATTAACCCTTAGTAACGCAGCTTCAAACTCACTACAAACATCTCAAATGGCTCATAGTTGTTATTGTGAATGAGACATGGTGATTTATACAAAAGAGTTTATTAATAACAATAAAACTGTTCTTTTACACTAATCACCTCTCTCCTTCGAAACAACAAATGGAATAATTACAACACAGGATTATTTTGTAGTACATTTTTGAGCTAAGTTACATTTCCCCCTTGTGGCTCTAAGTTATAATGCAGCTGTAAAAAAAAGAATAAAAAAAGAAGTACAATAGATTCTGAATTTAACCAGGAGTTGCTTTGCATGCAACAGCACAATGAAACTGAGAACATAACAAGTTCACAGGATTATAAACACTCTTTTGATTTTACTGAGCCTTCTAGTGTCTGTTCAGTACATCCCAGGTATTCAAATATCATGGACTGGCAGAGTCACATGATGTGGTGGATCAAATTGAGTTATGAACAGGTGGGTGATAATCGCAGCTGTTTTAGGAATCTTCTGGGTTTGTGCAGCTGACTGACCTGAGACGGTTGGGGGTGTGAACCAGCATATATTGTCAGTGCAGAGTGGGTAATTTAATCGGTTATGATGAGCTCATCACAGCCCCAGTCCTCATAACTTCCATCAGGAAGGTACCTGCGGATGATGATGGGGATCTTCCTGCTCCTGTTTGAGGGGACAATCACAGTAAGACACTGGGAAGTACAGAGCGACTCTACAGCACAGGATGCTGACCTACTTAAATAACGACAAACACAAACTAAAAGATGTAGCCATGATAGAATTTCATACAGCATTGCTGATCATTCAAACCATAAAATGATCACTTACTTTAGCTCTTTCATAGCTATTTGCAAGGGGTCTGTTTCTCCCTCCAGCTCCACCATGACTGGAGCGCACATCCTGTTGGAAACAGACAGACAGGTACAGTAAACACTGAATTACAGTCAATATGTAAGAGGCAGAGGCTAACTGATATAGAGTTTCATTTGAATCTAGTGGTTTTACTCAGTGTGCAAACTATACCGTTGCTTTTGGGGGGTGATCGTGTCTGCATGAAGAGAGGACTGACTGACTCACACCCCCTTTTTTAAAAAAAAAAAAATAATTTTTTAAACACCGGGGTGGGAAGGGGGGTGGGACTACGGACAGTTTGTTTTCCTGATATCTGATTCTGACCGCTACGCAAGAATAGCATGAATGCCAGTACCTTTATTAAAGTGAATGAGATCACCCTCATGCATAGTCAACTCGACATTAGGCTATTGCACTATGACTGATGATGAGACTACAGAAAGAAACAAAAAACAATATTAGGACCCCCCAAGTTCCCTGTTGTTCCCTGATATCTGAGTTGTCAAGCTGTCATAGTTTTTGAATGGTTGCCAATGCACTCAAAATCACAATCATCATCTATCATCAGACGGGCGACAAATTAGTCAACATTAAGTCTCTTAGTAAGGTGTTGGGCCACCACTGCGCGTTGTCTTAACACATCAAAAACCCCATCGTGTTCAACTGGCTGGCAAGATTAGCGATGAATGCCAGTAATTTTTAATTTTTTTTTTTTTTAAAACTTTTTTTGGTTTTTTGTAGGATAAAAGTGATCCCTCAGAACAACTTGGTATTCATTTGCAGTGACTCTTCTAAAGAAAAACAACAAGCTGAATGAGATCACCCTCATGCATGAAGTGAAAAAGAAAAAAAGCACACTCACGCTATCTGAAGAGCTCGTGTGCCCAGCACCCTGGCCCTCTCATATTTAGTCATGTACGGTGTTGTGATCCTCTTCTGGTTGGCCTGCTGTCCCTCTCCAGCCGGCAGGATCTGCACGTTCTCCCGGTCCTCCTGCTCACGAGAGGCAGCAACAACAGGGTTGAACGTATCAAATATAAATGGACCATAACACAAGATCACACAGCAGAGGAGAAGGTGAACACACAGGCTCAAGAACAGCCGGTTATCTGTCGTCCACTGACACTGTCAACTTACATCTTCCGCGTTTTCCAGGTCATCTAACCCCTCGTCCTCTTCGGCATCATCAAAATCTCCGTCGTCGAAGCTACACATGTGGACATTGATTCAGTTATCACAATGAAAAGAGCTCCACCATCTTTAAGAAGTGAACAGTTAGTTAACATTGGTTAGCTCTGCCGTTAGCCCACGCTGTGCTAACGTTAGAGAGCCTTTAATGTAACGTTACGCTGTAGCTCAGTGTCGTGACTTACTTATCTTCGTTGTCCGACATGTTTTATTTTGAAGCCCGTGTAGGTGAATCCTTAGTGTTACAATTCAGAGAGACACTTTTTGTTGTCCACATGAACGTTGAGGACGCTCCACTTCCGGTTGTTTGGTCCGTCAGGAGATATTCCGGCTGCTGAAGAACAACATCGTATTTTCGTTCCGCTTGTACCGCACAAGGTGTAGAGCAAAGTTAAAACGACATTAAAATAAACGACTGTGATACTAGTCAAATTTCATTAGTTTATTTCATTGTTACTTCATTTGGCTTACAAACTTAAAAAAACAGTGACACACTTGCTTGTGTTAAATGTGCGGAGGACCTACAAAATGTTTTTTCTTTTAAGAATACCATGACATTTCCGTGTATTACTGATGCATTTAATTCTTTAAGTTTATTTGGACTATCTGTCAAAAACAAACCAGGACTCCTTGAAGAGAATTCCTCAACTTTGACTCTAAATTAAGTGCCTTTAAAGAAAATACTCTTTCTGTAGTTAACAGACTCTCTGGAGAAAAACAAGACAGGAATAACTCAAGAGGCACAAATCCTGCATAACAATTCCACATAGAGGGAGGTTACAGCCAGATAAAAGTTATTGCATCACTGTGTTCAGCTCTTTAAGGATTTCCATTTTCTAACTTAAAACCACAACATTAGAGCAGGAACAATAAAACTGATATTGGAAATTATGTGTGTGAATGTTCTTACTCAAACAACTCAGGACAAGCTGTGTTTATCTGTTTTGAGTGACTTCAAATGCACCTTTACCAGCATAGTAGATAACTACCATAAAAAAAACCAATAATGAAATATTATTCACAATAAAAGTTGTTTAATCATATTATATACAATCCTTCTCCACAGACAAGACAAAAAATGTTGTCAAATAAATATTTATTACATACTTAAACTAAAAGAAGTATGTAATAAAATAAAAAACATAAATATGGATTGCATATGGGAGAGAGGGCAAGTGATTAAACATGGAGCAGAAAATGTGTTCGATAATGCTGAACTGCAAATGATTCATTTCTTCTATGCTACCCAAGTGCTCTTGAACGTAAAATTAATAAACCGTTTCATATTATGATCAATACTTTTATCATCTTCATCATCTCAAAGTTAAAACGAGTTTGTTGTCAGTGAGAGTTTCTGCAGTCGTGATGGTACTTCAGTTCTTTTTGTCCGTGGAGTCTTTGGTGCTCTCTGCAGCTTTATGGTTCAGCATCTTAAAAACCTTGGTCGGCTTAAACTTTCCTTTTGACTTCTTCAGCTCTTTAAGTCCTTCTTTCTGGAGCTCTGAGGAGAGATATCACAGGTACATGCAGTGAAACATGTTCAACAGTTTTTGTAAGCAAGTCTGTTATAAAGAGGAAACGTGGACAGGAGAAGACACCCAATAATATGAAAGATGCTATTTCTAAGAAGGTTTTCTTACCTTTGTTCTTCATCATGGCTTCCAAAAGCATATCTTCTTCCCTTTCCCTAATCAGAAACACAAAGTTGCATTTACACATTTCAAAATAAAAATCTATGAACATGAACATGAACATGTGTTGGTTTTTTTTCTGTGCACCTCTGCCTGTCCTGATCCAAGCTGCTGATGATTTGGTTCCTCTGTTCGATGATGGCGACCAGCTCCTCCATCAGCTGCTTCTCTTGACATCGATCCTCCTGACTCCAGTCGCTCTCTGAATGTGAAGACGACGGTGCGCAACATTTAATAAAACAAAGCACGGCATCACATTCACCACATTCAGCAAACTGCATCCAGTGAGATTTCTGTTCTATGTGTTATTCACACAAATGATCTGACCAGAAGGCAAAACTCACAGAACCGGATCATTTTAACCTCTGGGACTAGAAATGTTGGTCCTTTGATTATATGATCATATGGGTCCCTGATTCAAGTTAATAGATCAATGAAATGAATATTAGTTATTTAGCTGCAAATGTGATGCAAACAGTAAAACCCACTTACCTGGTTTATTGAGGAGACATCTGAGCTCGTACTCCACGTCTGCCTGTCTCTCCTCCAACTTCTGCTGCTTCGCCCTGGGAAAAAACACTGGAGATGAAGAATAATGGCACATACAACTCATTATCAGAGCAAAATCATTGTCCTGGTCCAGTCTACTTACAGATAAACCAGCTCTGTATCCCTGCGCACCAGGACATGTCTCTCATGGATAAGAGATAACCACTCCATTAGCATTTGTTCCCCCTCTTTATCTGTAATTAAATAAGAAGGATCAGAGCTGTATCAGATATAAACATCTCTATTACACGGTTAGTAAACAGTTTTGTCTAAAACCAGTAAGAACAATTTAGTGAACCATTCTTGCAGTCTCTCAGGTTCTTCTCCAGTTCGACTCCTCTTTGTTCCAGCACCTCCAGATGTTTCTCCAGTTCTCTCATCTCCACCTGCAGCCCTTCTGTACAAATATTCTGGTCTGTCTGCACCTGTAAAGCAACATATAACTATAACTCTACAACCTAATTTCTGTAAAACCAAGTATGAATTTACAATAATTGTAATGACTGAACCTTGTGATGAAGGCTAAGTTATCTATCTAATCTTATCTTAAAATAATCAGTGTCAACTTAATAATGTAATCCTTCTATCAAGCTTAAAGACAAATCTAAAAGTTGTTCAGATTTTTACTTTTGGGGGCAGAAATGTGCATTTAGAACAATAAACACATCAATTACTATAAACATTTATTTATTCTATTGTTAGTTACAGCTGTGCATGTATTCTTCAAACTTGCTAAATTTTTGTTTTAACATGTATTTTTTCAGCTTTATTTCTGATCATTGAAAGATGATTGACGGACTACAGCAACAGCTGTACATTAAGACACTGAAGCTCCTTCAAAACTTCTCGTTTTTGTTTTTATCTGTTTTTGGCTCATTGGTGAAACCGACAGAAATGGTTTACGTTCATCGTGATCAGGCTGGACAGATAACAGGTAATGAGAGCCTGTTTTGCCTACATCTTTACAGAGACCTGCTCCATCATCATCCAGGATCAACACTCGACTGGTCGGACCGTGTTCAGAGCTGACTCACTGTTTCCATCAATGATGCTTGATACTGAAATGCAGTCAAAGTGGATGGGTCCTGTTTCTTTTTATGTGAAGATGAAACTATTATCATCAACACTATGTTGTTGCTGCTGTCTACATTCAACCAGATGCAAATTCAAAAGATGCACAGTAGAATTATTTCCTGGGTATACGTGTTTGTATATATGTATAAATATATATTTTCTTATTTTATTTTCTATGGTTTTTATTGAATTGAATTATCTTTTTCTATGCGTGTAGAACTGTAAACTCTCATTTTGTTATTCAACCTTGTGTTGTGTAATCATAATACAAATTTCTTTAATTCCTTTTGAGTTCTACATCCAGCCACTGTACCTTCCTCTTGATGAGTGGGAAGCCATGTCCAGGGGCCTGGGCCCGTTGTGATTGGAGGGACTGAAAAGTTTTTGATCTGGGAATTCCAGGTTTTCGATCAAAAGGATTCTCTTTGCAGGCCAGCTAAAAAAGGAAAGAATATGAAAAATACGTAAGGCAGTTTATACTTTATATGAATGTGACTGATGTGAAACCTGCTGAACCTGATGTGCAGTGTATGTTTACAGAGCATGAGTGTTCCAGAAAAACATCTGAGTCTGTGACTGCAGAAGTAAACATCATATTATATTTCATTATGAACAGTAAGCCATTATCTTTTTTCATACCTTACTTTGACATGGTGTGTCAGGATCACATTCATTAGCCTCTGTCATGTCATCAGGCAAAAAGGATCTCTGACAGGAAGCAGACGTGATAGCTGGCACAGAGAGACTCCTGGGTAAAAGGTGACTCTGTGCTGTAACATCTTGTAGTGAACCTCCCGTGTTTCCACTTTCATCCAAATCTGCTATACCAATTTGACTACTAACTGCTTCACTGGAAGCGCCCGCTGTGTTAGTAGCTCCGCTAAGACTGACACAATTTCCTGAAGGAACATCTGCCAGTGAGGGCTCTGTTCGGTCTGATAGCTCAGGTTTACTGCCCTCTTCCTGGGTATCCTCATCCACATCCTCTCCAAATGGATTGGGAGCAGGCACTTTGGGTCTGTACCATGACCTCTGCAGGTTAGAGACAGATTTGGATCGAGGAGTGGGAACTGGAGCTGGAGCGGGAGGCAGCTGTGTCCAGGGTCCGGGGTGGACGATGGCCAGCCAGGGATGGTTGGTGCTCACTTTCGGGCTACTACGGGTTGGGCTGGTGCTACGAACAGAACAACAAGAGGTGATCTGAGACTCCACAAGTGAAGAAGGCCGTCTGAGGAAATAAGTCATTATTTCCTATATTATTATTATTACACTATGAAACTCCTTACAGCTCCAGCTCCTTTTTAAATCTACAAAATGCATTGCTAACTTTTTATTATTGTTTTTAATTCTGACTAACTTGCTGCTAACTTCTCCCATGTCCATTGTCCAGTTTCTGCATTGTCAGCTTTGTCTGGCTTGGGTATGTATGACATATTTACTAGTGCTTTATCAACAATGTGGTATGCACTTCTGTTTCTATATGGTCTTACTGTATGGCTTATGTGTGATCTATGATGTCACCATTTTACTAACTCATGACTACATCTTTTAATATTTATATCAAGCTCAAAATTATGATATATGATATTTTATGAATGTCTTATTGCTGCTCTGCATGTGTCACAAAGTGGTTATAATCAGTATTGCTGGCTGTGTGTTGCTTGGATTGGCTAAATGAGTAGCTGCATTACTGTACTAGCTGCTTCCTGTTGCCCTGCACGGCTGATTCTTGAGAATGCTTACTTTATTGCTGTTGCTGTCTTCTGTCTGTAAATTTAAACCAGCATCATCTCATTGGTGTTAAAAATACCTCGCTCAAGGACTGCTATTGAAAATTAGCCAGCTGGCTAACACTTCCAGAAATTGATTAATGTACGCTGTCCTTGGTAATAAAATAAATGCTCCATTTAATAAAGCTCCTTTAATGTGACATTTGAGATTCTGCCAGCAATTTGGATTTTAAGTTGTATTTAGATTTTTGGTAATTCTGTATATGGGATATAGTAAAATGTTCATAAACTCTTTCTTATTATTGTCAATATATACAATAGATGTGTAGCTGTAAGTTAAAGAGTGAGTCAAAGAAAAAAGATTGAACCACAAACTATTCAAGAGAAATACAGGACAGAGTTTGAGTTTTGTCCCAAAGACTCTTCCTCTACACTTACACGTGAGATGAACTGGGTGGACATTTGTTCTGGTTGGAATTGTCTGCGCAGAGAGAGAGAGAGAGAGAGAGAGAGAGAGAGAGAGAGAGAGAGAGAGAGAGAGAGAGAGAGAGAAATGGCTTCACAAATCTCCCTCATCATCAACATACAGACGAATAAATACCAACAGCAAAACAATATAGTGCCTGTTTACCTGCAGCGGGGGAGCTGTTCATTGTCTGGGAGGTTTTGGTCCTGGGTGCAGGAACGGGGACTACAGAGGAGTCTAACGTTCTCCTGGGTGCTGGAACCGGGCGACTAATACCTTCTGTCACTCCTGCAGAAGATGAAGAGAGCTCAGAGTGCTCTTGAGTCGATCCCTGCTGTATCTTGCAGTCTGCCAGAACGGGTGCAGGTCCAGCTTTTCCAGCTCCTTCGACGGTGCTGTCTTTATCACCGGGTGGGGGAAGATGAGGAAGCGCTGGCTTTTTTACAACACTCCTCAGTCCAACAGTGTAGTCTCCATTTTGTCGGTCTTTCACCTCTCTGCTCCTCTCCTGCCTTTCCTTCCCCTCTGTCTCTGCTGTTTTACAAACCAATCTGCCCTGTGACTCTGTTTTCTTAGTGTAATGAGGGACGCTGGTGATAGCTGATCCCCCCAGAGAAAAATAACCTGTCTGAAACTTACATTTGGGCCGATTCTCTGTAGATCCGATTCGCTGATTGAGGGAAACAAAAGTACTTTTACTGTCTTTTTTATGGTGAGTGCAAATCAAGGAGCCAGCCTCACTTCCCCTTGAGTAAGACCCTGGTAAGAGACTGCTGTGGCACACTCTGCACCTGAAAGACAAGCAAGAAATGTGTTGCTGTAAAAACATCCTTAATACATAAAAAAAGAAAACGTTAAGCCCATAACTGACCTGCACTGATATCGAAAACTTAAAAACTGTTTTCTACTTGAGCTAATGGCCGTGCACAGATACAGATTTCTTCAGCTATAACCATATAATCACACATGAGTATGTCAGATGATCACAGTGGTCACTTGAAACACATTTGAAACGCATTCTTCTGTGTGAACTGCAGTCCGTCTCAACCAGATCTACACACAGTCTGGATAAATATAGAAGCAACAGCAAAAAAAGCAGCCGTTACCTTGTGAACGGCGCTGTTACCTGAAACAGCTGCGATGGTAGACCTTCCCGTCAATCCAGTGTCTCTGGATGAGGTGCACAGGCTTAAAACACAAACTACACACCGTCCGGGGCCCTTTGTTGGATAAACGCACGTCTCCACTTGTTTCGAGATCAGTCGAGCTCTGAAAGAGAAGAGAAACCAGCGACTCAGACTAAGAACAGGCGTGTTCACATGGGGAGTGTGTGTGCGTAGAAATGACTGCGAGCAATTACCTTCCAGGGTTTCAGACCATCAGGAGCTTTACTCTTGTTTAAGACAGTAACATGGGATGACCTCAAACTGGCAAGACCTGCTGCAAAGTCAAGAGAAGATATGCAAAAAAATGTTTGGCAAACAAAAAGGAGGTGTGTCTAAAGATTTCATTCCCATGATGTGAAGAGTAAAGTAGCGCAAAATACTGATAATAAAGTATGGCCAAGTGCAATATCCAAATCGCAGGAGCTGCAATTTTTTGATGAAGTTAAAACGTGTGATTTGAATCATTATTATGAAGGACTGTTGTGCTGCAGAGATACCCTGGCCTACAAATCTTGTTCTCCAGATGTAAGAAATCAAGTTTGTTTGGTACAGACTCCAACAAATGTCCCATCATCATGATTTTAACAGGTTTTCAGTGAAAATGTAATTTGTGATGCAAAAATGATCATTTCCATACTAATTGTGAATCACATCACAGTTGCAATATCTGTCATAATAATAGCAACACGATTCTTTAACCATAGCGTGCAGCCCTAATAATAAAGCAGGCCACCACAGACATAACCCTGGGAACCTGTTAGTGTCCTTCATTAATCATGTACCTTGACAAAGTGCCTTCGAGCAAGACAATAAACCTCTGCTTGCTGTTTTGCTGCAGGTATATGCTAGCTAGCTATTACACAGAAAAGACAGATTCTGCACAACACACCATAAGACTTCCTGCTGAAGAAGGAGTAGTACTGAGCGAGGTAGGTGATGACGCTCAAACAATCAGGCGCCTTGGTGCAAACCATGTCGTTTGGGTCCAGCAGTGCAGGGATGCCCAGCTTCGTCTCTGCAATCTCAAAAGCCTGCAGACCAGAGAATTAAAAGGCGGACTACTGTGAAAAAGGGAGCTGCATTATTAGATACGTTTTTTGTTTTTTTTTGTTCACAGTCTTTCGTGTTAGTAATAGTAAACAAAACCCAGAGTTGAGACAGACAGGCTTGCATTGTGGTTTGTGTGCAAACATAGGAGGAAATGACTCACCAGTTTGTTATTTTGATAAACATTATCTTTGGAGAGGGAGCTGAAATCTCTGCAGCAAGGTGAGGAAAATTGAGAGATTGATTAACTGATGATGAAAAGACAAACAAACAAACAAACAGAACAGTTGCTTATTGTTGAACGGTGGTTAACCAGAGACTCCCATAGACACAAAGCCCTGCACCAGCAAAGTGCAGTCCAAGATCAGAGATTAGATGAGATGACTCTGGTTCAACCGCTGTATGTACCAGGTAAAGACAAACCAACTAATAATCCCATTAAAGTGGACAAGAAAAGGTTGAGCAGAGAGACGGAGGGAGATTAAGCGAAGGAGAGCAGATTAGTGTTAGACACAGTGTGCACATCCTCCTCTCCTCCAGATTACACAGCACGTTAGTCAATCTGGAGCAGCCCCCAGTCAAAGAGACTCACTTTAAATCTGAGGACAGGACCCCAGAAACAGACAATGTGTTTATAACTGTTAGTCATGCACCTGCAGATCAATCCACTAAGGGAATAATGCACCTCACTGGCCGAGCATGACTCTGCACAGCCAACACAGCCTCTATGAAACTACTGGTCTACTTACATCAGGTCGGGCCGGTGCTTGTGGATGAGGGCACAAAAGGCAAGTCCATCTCTGAATGAGGTTGACATGTTCTTTATGTCCACGTTGGGGTAACAGGCGCACGCCACGCGGCACCACTCCAGTAAATCCTTCAGTGATGCCATTTCTTGTGTGAGATTTGACACGCGGGCAGGGTGAACATGATCTCCTCTAACTTTATAAGTCAGAGGAGATCAGATAGAGCTGGGCAGGTTCGGGGGTTCTGAGGAGGAAACAGGAAGCGAGCATCTACTGGCCCTGTCTACCTTTTCTTGTTGTGCAGAAAAAGCTGCGGCCACAAACTTTGTGCAACGGGTTGGTGCAGCAGCGGCAGGAAGGAAGTTATGTGTTCCCTCCTGTTGTGTTTTCTTTGTGAAGTAAAAGGTGTCTGCGCATGTAAAGAGATTTCACATGCTCTAGTGTCTGCAGCCTCAACTTGAGTCCCGAACGGTTTTTCTCTCAGAGGCGACACAATGTCACTTTTCACCACAAACCACCGACGAGCTTCCGGTGAGCCGTCGTCCAAACGCCCGCGAGGCTCCGATCAGTCGTGGTCGATGTGATAGAAGTGGTGTAAATTTAAATCAAATCCCGTTAGTTGCCCGTGGTCCTCCTTGTTGTGCTCCACAGTCAGTGAAGTTCACAATAGCTGCCGCTGGAGGGAGACACAGAGCCGCTGCTCCTCTATAATTAGGAAAGGAAGGTCTCTGGTTACAGGTTTATTTGTCGGATGCAGACTTGACATACTTTTTCTCTCTACTGCATGACAGTCAAAGACAGTATATTCTTTTTTTTTTTATATCAAATTTGATGTTAAAACAGGTATTTGACGCATTTTAGTGAATGGACAGATCTCCTGGTGTAAACAAATATGTCTTTTTTTTAATGTTGTTTATTCCGTTTCAGGCTGCAATATTATGTTGTTTAGTCCAGAAAACACATCCACTTGTCCTTTCCGGGAGGTTTTGTTGGTCGCCCGTAAAGTAAGACATTATTTTACTAAAAGTACTAAAAGTAAAATAAAACTACATCAGCTTTAACTCTCAGCAAACATAACACAAAAACAAGGAGATGAAATACGACCTGTTTTGTGATAAAACTGTCACAGAAAGTGTCCTTTGTCTCAAATATTATTCTTCATATATCTATATATAGATATATAGATACATATCTATATGAGGCCACGCCAGCCTATGGTCTGCTTTGATTTTGAAGGAATTTTACTTCCGATCTGTCTGTCCGATCATAGACATCGATGAACCAGAGTGGTTATCCCCATTCAGAGTTACACATTATAATCTCAGTTGTGGCTAAAATGCTAAAATATTCGGTGACGTTTTCATTGACATTGGCGTTGACATATTAATAAACTCAACCAGTTAACAAAGACCGACATTAGCAACTGTGGCTTAGACGTAAGAACTAAACGTTGTATATTATTATTATTATTATTACTACCCTGTATTGTTCACCAGGTAGTGATTTCATTATTCTAATGAACATACGCATGTTAAACCGCACAATAAGCCAGTGTTCACACTGTCTATAACAACATTTAGTCTTTCTATGCGCTCGAGCTCTGCGTCTACGTCCCTCGCGAGATCGACGCAGCTCATAAATCTCGCAGTGATGGCTGCGCCGCCCGATGCGGAGAGTTTGGAGTCTCGTATCAGTGAGTATTTTAAACTTATTCTCCCGAGCCAGTGTGGTCTGGAGCCCCGGACACTCTCACATTATTAACCGGGAGTTGTTGTGGATGAGCTGACAGCTCGCCACAGCAGCGCGTGTCCCCGGCAGAGGGGACTCGGACCCTGCCGTCACATCCAGGATGCTAACCTGAGCTAGCTCCGGAGCTGCTGTGCTCGCCAGCTGTCAACACACAACACAGCCTGGCGTTAGCATTAGCTTCACGACACCGTAGCTCAACTAGGAAACGTTAGTCTGGGGGGGCAATAATACGGCCCCCCCTGTTTTTACTCACAGAGGTTAGACTATAATTATGTCTCGGAAGAAACTTCTAGACGAGACAGTGACACAGTGCGACTACCGAGAGCAGGCGAGCTAACGTTGACTCTGTTAGCACTGTGTGTTTCTCTGCACGGTGGCATGCTGGGGTTATGTGGCACAGACTTCATGAATTTTAATCATGGAGTCACTCGGGAAGCCTGCAGGCTTTCTTGGTGCTTAGTTACAGTTTTGTGTGAGGAAAACGCAAACCTATTCCACTCACCGTGTCTGTAAAGTGAAGATATTTTGGGTATGAATAGTAATGCTTTCATTTAATTGTGTTATTATTATACAGTTGCCAGTGTATTAACAACTCATAGGTAAAATAATACAAACAGAGAAAAGACTAGTGATGTAAAACTTGTACAATACGGTTATAACGTTTGTGCTGAAACTGATTAATGTGTTAACTAAACTTTAGTGTCATTATGGAGGCTGCAGCTTGTGGTCCATGTAATTGCATTGTGGTCAGAGCGGTTTCTAGCATGTTTCTACCTTCATTAGTTTTAGATAGGTAGAAGCTGAATGTAGAAACACTTACTGGACATGTGTAAATATGATGTAAATGGCATGCATGTATAAATGTTCTGTTTTTTTATGTATCTCTTATGATTATGTTCTGTATGTATGTATGTATGCATTTGAGGCTATGTACAGATTGTAGCAACACATTTCGTGAAAAGGATAATAAATCTGTCTATTAAATCAATTCATAAAGATAATAATACTATAATAAGGTTATAGTAATGTTACCTAATCAGTAACCTGTGCTATCTTATTTCACAATATTACTGTAATCAGAATTTCAGACCTATATATTCTAATATCAGATTAGCAGTAATGATATAATGCAGTGAAGTTGAAATAACATCTATCACCTCTGTTGCTAACATTTCAGACAGAGCCACAAACCCACTTAACAGAGACACAGACTGGAGCAGTATCCATGCCTTCTGTGACCAGCTCAACAATGATTTGGAAGGGTAAGAGGACGTTGTTTGTGCTTCCTATCTTAATTATGGTCTGGTTGATGGGGATTAAAGACGATTAATCCTGGAGGCCCTCGGTGTGGTTATCTTTTCTCCCAAATAAGGGCTGTTTTCCTCGCTCACTTTGAAATCAATGAAATCACATTTGGATTTAAATTACCACATGTATTAAATTCACTACCTACATTTTACAACTGGAGACTGACTGGAGTGCTGAATACACATTATACATATCTCCAAACACTTGGCCTGTAAAGCTGTTACATGTCATTAAACAGACGTGACAGTTTTCTCAATTTTTATAACAATTCTCATTTATTTTAGAAATCATTATGGGATAAATGTGACTTTGTAATTGATGTCAGTGTTTATGTAACATTAAACTACTGTTTAAAAACCCCACAATATGATTACAGTTGAAAAATGTAATAATAAATATTGATATCTTGCCCACCACTACTTGCAGCACACTTGCATTTGCTCATTTGTCTTCAACTGCTGTGTGCGGTGCTGTGGACATTCAGTATTGTTTGTGACTTGTGTTACAGACCTCAGCTGGCCACCAGGCTCCTGGCCCACAAGATCCAGTCTCCACAGGAGTGGGAGGCCATGCAGGCCCTGCTGGTGCGTTCTGTTGTTAGCTCCCTCAGTCCTGATTAACCCGGTTTTCAGTTAATTATTTCTGTGTCTCAACAGTATTTTCTACCATATTCAGTAATGTAACAGATATTAACTGTCCTAACCTAAATTCCACTTGAAAGTTTGTCTAAATTTGTATTAAATATCTTTTTAAAGCATGGTGTTGCTGTTTTCAGATTTGTTTTATTTCTTGAATTGTATTCCTTTTCTAGGTTCTGGAGACGTGTATGAAAAACTGTGGGAAAAGGTTTCACAGTGAGGTGGGCAAGTTCCGTTTTCTCAATGAACTCATCAAAGTAGTTTCTCCAAAGGTAAGACTCTCTCAGAGGGCATCTATGTTTCATATACTTTTTTATTTTTTATTTTTTCAAACACAGCTTTTGTGTGTATGTAACATGGTTTTTGTGCTTGATTTTAGTACCTGGGCTCACGGTCACCAGAGCCAGTAAAAAAGAAGGTTTTGGAGTTGATCTATAGCTGGACTTTGGGGTTACCTGATGAGTCCAAGATCTCAGACGCCTATCAGATGCTGAAGAAACAAGGTGAGAGGCTGTGTGCTATCAGCTGAATGGAAATTATCACTTAAAACCAAAGTAGTTAGAAGGCACTGAAGGGTGCAGGCAGTAATGAGAGCTAAAACAAGTAATAACTGCAGTGATGAATAATATAGTAACTCATATTCTGTGTTTGTAAATAAGGTATTATTAAACAAGACCCAGAGCTGCCACCTGACAAACTACTGAACCTTCCTCCACCCAGACCCAAGAATGCTATTTTTGAGGATGAGGAGAAGTCGAAAGTAAGGAATTGTCTGTTTTAAAAGAAAATAATCACTGTTATTTATTTCTGTGCATGCTATTGATTGTCCTCGTCTCCCTTTTGGAATTATTTATGGACCCTGTTCATTTTCGCACATGTAAACTGACTGTCTGCTTTGTCAGATGTTGTCTCGCCTGTTGAATAGCTCGCACCCTGAGGACCTCAAAGCCGCCAACAAACTCATCAAGGAAATGGTCCAAGAGGTAAACCGCTTTCCTTCTCCTTCCTCCTACTTTACTAAATTGCACCTTTCTGTTATACATGAACTGCACCACCACTTTTCAGGGCTGTAGATTTAGTAAAGAAAAGGGAATTAAATGCCAGAGTGCTGCACACATGACAGGAACATTAACTGAATGAGGAAATGGGTTGTTTGCCCTGGGGGTTTTGTGTGTCACTGGCAGAGTGATTCAGCAGGAATTCAGAGTAAAGTTGTCCTGATTTCAGGGGTAATAGGAGCTGCTCTTTTCTTTTATCCCCAGACTTTTCTAATGGCTTCTTCCTGACCTCGCTGTATATACGCATGTTTTTGTGTTACTCTTGTTTTTTTGTTTTGTTTAAATGTATTTATTTGAAGTTATACAAAATCAAATAAATCCCAGATACAGCTGGATAACACAATTTACTCTTAAGTTTGTGCTCCAAAAGAGTACCATCTCTACTACAGTATTATTATTATTATTAGTAGTAGTAGTAGTAGTAGTAGTAGTAGTAGTAGTAGTAGTATAAATGTGTTCAATGTGGCGCCCATTTGATCATCACTGGGTAGAACAGCTTCTAAACGACAGGCTAGCATCTTGGAAAGATGGTAGAGCTGGATCCTCATGTGCCGGTGCCGGGTCCTTTCTGCGGGGACCATGGGTTCGGCTCCGACCTGTGGCCCTTTGCTGCGTGCCGTTCCGTCAGGGATAAATGATATAACCGCATGTTGGGTGGTCAGAGGAAGAGAGCCAGTAATAAGTAACAAAATAAGGGTTTTTGGTTGGTGTGTTTTTGTGTTTCTGCAGCTCGTTTCATGCATGATCATTTTATACATGTGCATGCGTTTGTCTTCACACCGTGTTATGTGTGCTGTTTGTGAATTTGTGTTTTAGGATCAGAAGCGAGCAGAGAAGGTGTCAAAGCGAGTGAACGCCATTCAGGAGGTGAAGGAAAGCGTCAGTCTGCTGACTCAG